ATATATATTTTAAATACTGTAATATAAAGAAAAAATGAAAGCAAAGTAGTTATAAACTAAATGCATTCTGGAATAAGACTAGAGCCACAATGAATTACCAGATGTTTGCACCTGAATTATTTATTCTGCAACAGCTGTTGGTGTAGTCTGACCAGCGGTGTTAAATAAATGACTCGAATACAGATACCACTAGCAGCATTGCCACTAGAGACAGGATTTTTGTGCAATGGTAAACAAGTCTTGGAAAGCCAAGAACAAAATAAATGATTAATATAGTCTTCTGTCCGTTTACTTAGTAAATACCTTTGTGTTTCATGAAAATCCACTCAAAAACTAGTTTTTCTCTCTATAAAATTGAGTTAGGGAGTTTCAAATATTACAGGTTTTAGATGCAGGGTTTTCACCCACATGAAGATCTGGAGCAACATTTCAAAGTCATGTGAGAAATATAAAAGGTCTTCATTGCACAGGATATCGGGCTCCTAAGTTCAAGTGTACACCTTCCCCCTCCCATTACTGTGACAGCAAACCCCTCCTGCAGAAATGCCATTGTAAGCTATAGGGGCTGGCTCCACTCCCATTGACAGTTACTGGCTGGGAGGAGCAAAGGGGAGATAGGAGAGAAGAAATGAACTTCTCTCAGCTCATGATGGACAGTCACCCTCAGCACATTCTGAAGCTGTGCTGTCAGCCTGTCTTAGAGGTAAGTTTCCTGTTACAGCATTCACTTTTTGTCTAAGTCCCACTATTTAGTCCCTTTACCACCAGCCTTAGAATCAACAAATTTTTAAAATATTTAAAAATCTATTTTTTATGTTCTCTTTGGGCCCCAGGTAGATTTCTGAAAATGGATTTAACACTTCCTGAAATGTTTATTATTTCACTAAAATGTTTGCATACTGTGGACCCAGCAATTTCACCTCGAGAAATGTATCATAAAAAAAGTATTTCTTTTCCATATGTGCAGCTTTTATTGACTTTTTGCATGTACGTTACAGAGTTTTTCTATTGCCAAACCATGTCTGAATATTCAAAGAAATAAGTGGTACAATGGACAGCCTATTCGCCTATCACACATATTTTAGTACAGTATGCCATTAAATAAGTTCCACAAACCCATCTAAGTTCATTCCTCAAAATCACAACACAATTTTGCTGGAAAAAAATGCATACTTTTCAGGGAAAATATGTGGCTCAAAGTACAAGAGATTTGTTAAGATTTTTGGATTCCAAGTGAAGTCTTCAGGTTAACCAACAATCCCTTGTTGAGTTAATCACCCAGTGTCTCCTTGGCTTATGCAGCAATTCACCCAAACACCTTAAAAAGCAGGCATCTTGCCTGCTACCTCAGATTACATCAGCATTATTGCTCAGTCATGGTTGACAACTGCAAGCCTCTAGTGTGCTTGGGTCTGGGGTGATCGTATGCATTTCTACAGTTCTTGCAAGAATATTTGGAAACAGTTTGAGGCCTTTCCCTGCTGCGTCCGGAGCAAGGTAATAGAAGTTTCAAAAAGTCCTTTGCTCCCTTTCAGTTCTTCGTGTGCTGGGCATGGTGGATCTACACTGTCCCATGGTAACAACTTGACACATATGGTTAAACTTAAGTAAATTTTTCAATTCAGTTTTTGTTCACAGCTGTGAAATCGGCCTCATTTTCTACCAGCCCTTAGACCCTGTGAGAGGCTCACTGGGTCTGTTTATCTGGGAACTTAGAGGAGCACCCCTCTAATGCGTCACCGCCCAGATGCCCAGTTGTGTGGGCGAGGCTCCCATTCTCAAACTTGGAGACCTGTTTTTCCTCGGTCTCCTCCTGGGGTCTTGACATCTTCTTGTGCTGTGCTTCCTGGGACTCCAAATGGGTGACAGACTTCTTTTCAGAGCTCGTTTCGATGGTCGGCAAAGGTTTGGTGCCCAGGAGGCTCCCTCGCTCCTTGCTGGTAGTTGCAGGGGACAGGGCCCGGGGCTTGGGCTGCATCCAGCAGTGGCTCAGGATCTCATCAATTTGCAGCCGTGCGGTGACATCTGGATGCAAGATGCGGTAGATGAGGTCCTTGCACTCCTTTGTCAGGTGTTTCGAACGAGGGAAGTTGACACGGTGCTCCTTCTGGATGCGCAGCATCTTCTTGATATTGGAGTCGTCGTAGGGCATGGAGCCACAAACCATGATGTAGAGGATCACGCCCAGGCTCCAGATGTCATAGACCTTGGGCTGATAGGGGATGCCCTGCAGGACCTCAGGAGCTGCGTATGCCGCTGACCCACAGAAGGTCTTGCTCAGGGTCAGTCGGCCGCTGTCATCCCGCAGACAGCGTTTAGAGAAGCCGAAGTCGGACAGTTTGATGTTGAAGTCCTTATCGAGGAGGAGGTTCTCGCATTTGAGGTCTCGGTGGACAATGTCCAGATCGTGGCAGTACTTGATAGCTGATGACAGTTGGTGGAACTTCTTGCGAGCTTCATCTTCATGCAGGGCTCCCTGGTTTTTGATGAAGTCCAGGAGATCACCCTGGACCCCAAGCTCCATGATAATATAGACCTTGCCCTCTGACGTCTCGAAGATCTCATAGGTCTTGACAATGGAGCGGTGGTTTAACATGATCAAGATCTCAATTTCCCGGGGAAGGAATTTCTCTAAGAAGTCTGCAGGTGCTTTCTTGCGGTCAATGATTTTGACTGCCACATTGAACTTCAGGCGCTCAGAGTACGCAGATTTGACTTTTGCGAAAGAGCCCTCTCCCAAATTTATCCCCATGATGTAGCCTCGTCGCTTGAGAACGGTAACATCATCCATGATGCTAAGAACACCCAGAACCTCTAAGGTTGTCCTCTACGCACCTGTTAGACATAGGCCAGTGGTGTCCTCATTTACATAGGGCAGAGAATCCTCTGGGCGGGCTAAGCCTGCTGTCCCTCCTCCTGAAGGCCCAGGCTCTGGGGATGGAATGTTCAGCATTGTCTCCTAGGTGACCAGTGGGTGAAGTCATACAGGAAGGGTGCCCTGCCCTAGCTGGTTTGGCTCAGGGGATAGAGCATTGGCCTGCGGACTGAAGGGTCCTGGGTTCAATTCTTGTCAAGGGCATATGCCAGGGTTGTGGGTTTGATCCCCAGTAGGAGGCATGCAGGAGGCAGCTGATCAATGATTCTCTCTCATCATTGATGTTTCTATCTCTCTCTTCCTTTCCCTTCCATCTGAAATCAATAAAAATATATTAAAAAATAAAATACAGAATAAAGGAAGGGTGCCCTGAGGGAATGAGGCTCTAGGTTGAGCCACTGGTACTCAGAATCCCAGAAGGCCTGCAGAGAGCAGCCTCGCACTTGGCTGGACCTGGGGTGGGGGGGCACTGTGGGGACACATTGGTCTGGCCATACCTCCAGTCCTAGAGCCAGGACTGCTTGTTGAGCAGTAGGGCTGGTTACTGCACTGGGAAATCCAGGGTGTTTGTAATAGTCCGAGTCCCAGCAGGAAACAAGAACACTCTGGTTGGGGCAGTCTGAGGGTTTCATAGGGCATAAGCTACAAAGGTGGGAGCAGAGTGTTTAAACCTCAATGGTAGTCATACTCCTAGGAGAGACAGGGATGATCCCTGGCATCTGGGAAGGGTAGTGTAGAGAGGGAAACTTTGAGAGAGGCAAGACTGTAGGTGGAGGCAAAGTGACTCCCACAGGCAAGGAGCTGGGGAGAAATGTCCCTGATCTTTTCTCCCTTCTTCAGTCCTGGAATCCTTCCCTGTGTCCACACAGGTGGCCTGTGGGCCCTGCAGCAGATGGAGCAGGGTAGAAGTGGGTCAGGAGGGGCAGAGCCTCCAAGCCTGGGGTCACTGCCTTTAGGAAGTCATGGCTCTGCCCTCTCCTGGCTGGTTTGGCTGGACTCTTAACCTCCCATACTTCTCTGACAGTGACCCCGCTTGGAGGACAGCTGGCAGGAACTTCTGCTCTTGCTGTGTGTTACTTTCTGGGGGTCTGCACACCCCGAAGCCTTGGCAGGGCTCCTGGCATATCTGGGGCTGGGGAAGAGCTCATCTGGATCCCACATTGAGTACCAGCAGCTCCTGGAATGCTCTGAGGATGTGCCAGTGGAGGAGTCAGCATTGGAAAGGGACCAGTTTCTGCCAGCAGTGGGGCCCTCTGCTGTGACAGCCCCTTTGTCTAGGCAGCTCTGGCCTAGCCTTTGGTTTCACCTTGGCCATATCTGCCCAGAGGGAGTTGGTACCTCTCAGATGGCCCAGCTCAGCCAATGGTCTGTGTGCACCAGACAGCGCAGGTACTGCCCTCCTCAGTGCTCATCAGGATGCAGGGTGTTGCACTCAAGGTCCAAGGCAGACAAGCAGTGCCTTCCTGCTCAAATTCCCTGTCCAGGCAAACCCAACAGGAAACTGGCAGGTTGGGAGTAGACGGACACCAGGCCCCCAGCCCACCAGATGGGGAGACATGGAATCTAGAGGAAGGAGGGAATGCCCTGTGTCCTTGCCTTGGTGTGAGGGCTGTTGGGTGCAGTTTGGGGTGGGCAGGATAGAAAGAGTGGCTAGTGTGGTCTTGGCAGAGACCCACTATACCTTCTTCCTTCCAGGTGACTCAGATCTCTTCTGTCCGAGAGGAGTCAGGGTGGGAGCCCAGGTGTGCTAGTAGTTTGTTATTGCCACTCTGGCCACTGGCACCTATAGCAGCCTCTGGCCATAGGCGTACTGATTTTCACAACAGTTTAAAAAAAATAAAGAAAAAGAAATGGTTGGCAGGTCCGTCAGGAGATCCTGTAACCCACCAGGAGCCTGATTCCTGCGTTAACACTTATCAAGATTCAACTTCCATAGAAATAGGCTCCCATATCAGTATAGTTTTACCTACCCACTTGCTTCACTCTTGCCAGTAGCAAGTCTGCAACTCCTGCCATTAGGCAAAGGGATTTATTACAGAGAAACCCAGACTCTGCATCAAGTAGTCACACACCACTTTGACATATTTCTATTGAACCAAAGATACAAAACTAGGAAATTGCCAGGCTGTCTCATTAGATGGACAGAAACTTTTCAGTAATCCTGGGTATCTTCCTGAAGTCCCTTTTCAGGATTAATAAATGACTGGATAGCTATAATTATTAAAAAGAGAAGTGCTATATCACCTGTCGTTCACCCCTGACTTTAAAGACACACCAGAGGGTTGATAACAGAGCTACCCTGGGACAATTGCTACATTTACAGAATGTCCAATAACTTAAAAGTTTTGGCACAGGTATATCTGGAATTGTCAGAGACCATGCAAGATCCATGAAACCTAAGTGGGTTTTAAGTTGAGGTTCTGCTCATGTTGCTTTAAATTTATAAGAACAAATCAGTGAGTCCCTTGGCCTGAGCAGAAATCATCCTCTTGTCACTGCAGTTAACTTTATAGTTAGACCTGATTCCAGGAGGCTATAGCAGCACCTGAAGTAGAGCTCCCTGCATCTATTGCCCCTTACATCAAAGGCTATTTGGTTCCTCTCCAGGGATTGGCAATTTCACAATTCTAATGCATATTTCAGGTCACTTACTTAACCAAGCAATATGCTCTGTCAAAGAACTTCTTCCAAGTCAAAACAAAAAAAAAAAAAAAAAGGAAAAAGGCATTAATGTGGAACATAGAGAAAGCACAGTTCAAATAAAAAAATTTACTAAAAGAAACAGGATTATCCCCTCCCATACCCCCTTCCCACTTGGTGGACCCAAGTTTCATTGAATCTGTGGTTACCTCAGAATACAAATCAAAGTTTAAATTAGAAATCACAGCCCTACACAAAGTGTCTGAACACATCTGTTCTTTTGAAAACAGCACCTTCCAGGAAGTCTAACAGCCACAGCCCGCTACAGAGAGCATTCCTGGTGGGTGGGGCACAGGACAGGTTAATTAAGGTCACTTAAATCTTCACCTTTTTGCCCAACTGGTGTGACTCAGTGGTTGAGTGCCGACCTATGAACCAGCAGGTCACGGTCGGGGCACATGCCCTGGTTGCAAGCTTGTTCCCCAATACAGGGTGTGCAGGAGGCAGCCAATCAATGATTTTCATCATTGAAGTTTCTCTCTCTCTCTCTCTCTCTCTCTCTCTCCATCTCTCTCTCTCTCTCTCTCTGAATATATATATATCCTCACCAGTTTGACTCAGTGATTAAGAGTGTTGACCGTCAGACTCAAGGGTCTCAGGGTTGATTCCGGTGTCAAGGGCACATACTTCAGTTGCAGCCTCAATCCCTGACCCCAATTGGGGCACATGCAGGAGGCAATCAATCAATGTGTCTCTCTCACATTGATGTTTCTCTCTGTCTCTTCCCTTTCCTTCCACTCTCTCTAAAAAAAATCAAT